CACACACACACACACTCGCTCGTGCGACCGAACGATCGGTCCGATTGCAATGGCAAACTGTACCTGCGGTCTCAGTGACATAGTAGCGATTTGCAAAGAAGTGGTATTCAAACATGACAGCCTAGCCACGTCATGTCACCTGTATAGATGAGTTCCGATTGGAGCAAATATAATCACTAATTTCCTGAACCCAACACAAAGCATGACTGTAGGAGAGATATCACACATGGAAGCAGGTCAACATCGCTAATGTGCACCAGATACGATAACAGAAAATGACGGCAACGGCTCAAACCTTATGTGCAAGCAGCCTTTCTTCCAATGATTTACCACGAGTGACCATGGAGGATAACAAAGGAAGCCAGTCTTAATGATTATGCTCTGTTGTGACAGGAAGAAAAAGCTATTTTTAGATAACACACCTGAGGTGAATATAGAAACTGCATATGGCGGTGCATTCAGTGCGACATTGGAGAGGATTTTCAACGCAATCAGCGCAAGTTCCTTGTTGCTATTACGAAACTGTGTGAATATCACATATAGAAACGGAACAACCTCCACGCCAACAGCGGATGGATCAAATGGAATCTAAATTTTGTCAAAATTAGGTCCGATCAAAAGTGACTTTAGACAACAATACCTCCGTCTTCACAAACATAATGCGCAAGAGTTGGAGTAATCGCATCACCTGGCTAGGTCGCCTCGCTAGCCATTCTTCAGGACATGCGAGATCTTCTTCCGGGCAAGGAACCCTATGTGCTACACGGTAATGCTAGTTTATACCCTACCACAACCTTCATTCCAATTACGAAGGGAAAAAACAGAAATAAGTAGAAACGCACCAACCTGTTTAGCCATGCTATGCCAGAGTTCCAGTCGTCACCTAAGTTGAACTAAAAATAAATGAACGACACTCGATAATGAAACAGTTATCGTCGAGCCCGTAAAAAACCAAAAATAAGTGAAGACTACAAAAAAAATTGAACGATGATGCTAGCAACTGGTCACCTTCGTCAGCAGCTTGGAAAATGTCAAATCGTCCTCATCCATTTCGCATTTTGTGACAGGCACGTATTTGCTGAGTTCTGAGCCTCGAAGAGCCATCACTCCCAGTGCAGTGGGACTCAACGAGCTCAGATAAGTAGTATCTTGAAGAAAAACCTTAGAACTGCGCTGCAGTAAGAACGTGTCAGTTCCAGAGATAAGCCATATCGAAAAAAACCTGTTGTATGTTGAAGGAAACGTAAGGCTTCCAGTGTATTTTCGTTCGCATTTAATGAGCTAATGGCATCCTCAAGTGACCGTATACCGAATGCGCTTGGTGATGTCGGACAGAAATACGACCGATAGGCAGAATAAATCGCTCTAAAATGGAAAATTCAAGCCATCACCGCTTCTTATGATCGATAGTACTGCGCAATTTTAGGGGTGTGGTTCACTAGGACAGAAAGCGAATTTTTCGCTGCGTGAACCCCAGGTCCACTGCTGATTAACCTGGAGTTCCAAACGTAAAAAATGTTTCGCGCTGCAAAATGCGAAAAAGTCGCTTTCTGCCCTAGCGAACCACACCCCGATTTTAGCTGATGCTCGTTCGGACTTTTAAGACGAACTAAGCTTTCTTTACTAGTGAGTCTTCAGCGATACTACCCTTTTAAAACGACAAGGGTACTAAATTTCACTGTCGCCCAAACCTACACCCTGAAAAATGTAAGCCGAGTTTTTTGGCAGCCTGTCCACTTTTCGAACCTACTTCGCTGCATGACCATGCCGCATTCTTCCTTCAAATTCATTTGATTCTGGCGCTTTCTGGCATTGTTGAAAGATGGATCTGGTTCAAACGCGGTCAGGAGTGAGTTAAGCGAAACGAAAGGAAAAACGAAAGATAATCGCTCATATGTGTTACAGGCGTTTCTGCATGTAATTTACGCAGAACAGTTTCAAGCAGTTGATTGTTGTAATTTCCTAATACCAACGTATTATTTGTGTCAGCTGAAAATCTTCGACAAGTCCTCAAGGTTGGTAGAATTTGTAAACCTTGCGCCGAGAGAACTTTGATAGTTTGATCATACTCTCTCCTGACATTTAGAACAGATTATAAAGCGTTCAGCATACGCTTTGTACGCAATCCATACCTGATCGTAGTAGCATTTAGAAGCATGTTTGGCTATATCCAATGAGTTGCAGCCTTTGGAGAGGTCAGATAGTTCAGCGAACCAACATAAGTGAGGGCAAAAGCAACTCTGCAGAAGAAGTCTGCTCACTTCCGAGAATAGTCGTCGCTGCTGATCAGCGGAGCGCTTCATAATTATGCCGCGGCCGAGAGTTTCAATACATTCGCAGTCATTTTCTTACCACACAACGCGTGGGACCCACGAAAAAACGCCTTTAATAGCCGCTAATCGTTCAAATGAAACTTTATTGTAATGTAGTCACGTTCTGCAGTTACTGTATTGTTCGGTTAGACCCTTGGGTGTGATTCACTAAGAACAAGAAGCGAATTTTTCGCGCTCCGCAGGGCGCAGCATTTTTCGCTGCAAGAATCAAAGTGGACCTGGGGTTCCCGAAGCAAAAACTTCGTTTTCTGTCCTAGTGAACCACACGAAGACCCTTCAGTAACAGGAACTTTACAACTCACACGACTTCAACTTATTTTTAAGACTGACTAACCAGAAGCATCCCTTCTAAATCCCCACCCTCAGACTGCAGTCGAAGGAAGCGTCAAAAGCAAATGATATTCAAAGAAGAACAGAGCATGTCCCGCTTGGCTGCCTGCTAATAAACTCGGCTTCCATTTTTTTTTCAGGGTGTAGGTTTAACACGTTGACGACATCGCGCGTTTTGGCATTTTTGGCCGCGTGGGACCAGAGCGGTTCTGCGAGCGCCGCCGCCTCACAACAAATCTGTGGATTTTGAGCTTTAAATACGCAATACTTCGATGCGACAAAATGTTTTCACTGATATTCGGTGTGTCAAACTTATTGGAAGGTACACATGTGAAAGTGCGGTCGAATGATGTGTTACAGCATTGAAAAGGCAAGTTTCACTTACTTTTGCTTTAGTGATTTCAAAATTATTTTGGACGTGGTTGTTTCGGTAAAAACACATATCTTGCCACACGAGTAGCTTTGTACTCACTTCTAATATTCTTTTTTATCTACATGTTCGTGTTAATGAAGAGAAAATGAGGAATGAACTGAACGGATATTTTCGTCAGGTCCGAAAACCTCTGCCAAACTAAAGAATATTTGGTCATTCTATAAGCCGCGTGGTTCTTGGTTATGTTGTGGTATGGCCTAAAAATGAACACAAAAAACCTGGGAAGAAATGGCGCGTTCAAGAAAAAACTGAATGTAAAGGGTGTGGCAACTATAGTTGCCACAATGTCCATTGCGGCGTGCAAAACGCGGCAAACCTAGTTGCCGCGCTGTCGTCAAGGTGTTAAGCAACAGTCACAATTTCGATATCGGCCACATTCTCCAATCGCTGGGTTTGCTAGATTAAATTTCAAGCCCTTCTACAGCTTCGAATAGCAATTGAATGCGCGGCGCCACAAAATGACCAAAACGCAGTACACCTTTCAAGTATCACGTCACCACGTTTGTAAAAAAACAACCATTGAACGGACTCCATAAGAACTTCCCTGTCTAAAGTCATTCAGCACGAAAAAATGTGGTCCTCCACCTTCATAAAAGAACTACGGTGAATGAATCAATGGATGATTGCAAAAATTCTATGTGTGTGAGTAAGCTGATAATTGTAATAATTACGTAATTGCCCACTGTCACTAAGCGAAAAGTGGAGCGACAAAACCACGAACACTGACTAGACTTTGAAGACTTTAAAAACTCACGACAGAGCCACAGATGGAACGATATAACGTGCCATAACGATATAAGTGACATAAAGACACAGCTCACGTAGTTCAGTTGATGGATCAAATTTCTTCAGCAATCCCGCTCGATAGTCATTGACGCCTGCGTCAAGTCAGGATGGTGTTCTGCAGTTGCGTAAAAAAGACAGTGAAAACGTCTGAACCCTGTCACATAGTGGTTTGCGTCGAGAAAAATAAGAGAAATACAAGTGTAGTTGCGTGATTAGTAGCGCCAATGTTGGTAGTATGGTGTAAGTTCAAAAATACGATAACGAGTGCTGGATGTTTATATTTTAACATCACACACAATCCGACCGCTAAATTACACTGGCATTCGATGCATGGTGGTTGTTTACAGACACCACTTTAGCTCCGCACTCCACTGCGCGTATCAAACGGTGAGCTTCTGCTAAGATAAAGAGCCTATGTTAGCGGTGAATCTAGCGCTTTGTCGGCTGTCCTGTCTCATCCCGACCTTCCGTTTAATGCGCGCGGTAGCGTGCGGCGCTAAACTGGTTTGTTAATACAGCGTTAAGAAGGGAAAATGTAAAACAAGTTCTTCGAGGAAACAACATATAACAGCCAAATTGAAACAAATGGATCGTAGAACTATAATGCATTAAGTATTTGCTTAGCTATGAATCCTCTAAAGGGGACACAAGAGCGCTGGATGAAGTAACCAATGCAGAAGGGAGTGAATGAGTGCGAGAGAGTTATAAAATACGCTAATTATTAGTTATCACAAGAATGCTGAGTTGTGGGCAAAACTTTCGCCCCAGCCGGGATTCGTACCCGGATCTCTTGCTTTCCGGGTAACCACAACTCAGCATTCTTGTGATAACTTTCGCAACGCGAACTGCGGCGTAAAACAGCAGTTATCCAATAAAAACAAAACTAATTATTAGGTAAATTACTAAGTAGGGTTATAGTAGTCAAACTAGCGAACTCCCCTAACCATTTATTCTTTTGCTCCCCATCTCAGGCGGATTCCGCCTTGGAAGCAAGGTCAACCCAATTTTGGGACAAGTAACCAACGGGGGGGGGGGGTCGTACCCTCTCGGTGGCCGACAGTGGGATTCTTGGTAATATCGGATAATAGCCAGCACGTTACGTTTTCGTAAGATGACTGATACTAGAGCATCTATAAACCACGCTTCCCTCTAAATGAGCTTTCAAATGAATCAGCGAATTAGAAGGGCGCCCGAGGCGTGGCGCGCACCAAGGCAAGGGATGTAGTGCAAGCGCATGCTCGAAGCTTTCTAACACATCCTATGTTCAACACGAAATTGTTTCCTGGAAGTTACGGCCAGTGAAACCTAAAAAAACCCGCGTTTTCAAGAAAATGGCTTGAAGAATGCCCCTCCAAAAAAGTAACAACGGGACTAATTTTTGAACTGCTGACTTTTCAAGAACGTTGGGTACTTTTAGAAAGCTTGAATCCTGTAGTTTGTCATACCGTGTTCAGCTTCCCAAATGAATGAGTTTGAAGGAAGTTATGATCGTTTAAAGGTTGAAAAGTCGCATTTGCACAGAAAAAAGTTCCAACGTGCTAAATTTTTATTAAATTAACTTTCGAAGAATTTTTACCCATGGTTGGAGAGAGAATAATTTGAATTTTTTAAATCAAATAACTCCGGCGCAAAAGCTTGAATAGGAAGGAAGTTTCTCGTTTATTCATTTATTCATTAAACTATTGTACAGCGGTGATAAGGATATATGGTACAAGTTGACGGCAATTACAATAGAAAGAAACAGAGCAGATGAAAGTTATAGACTATGTGATATATATATTATAAAATAAATTAGTGACATTAGAGGCAAGGTGGGAGGGGGAGGGGGGGGGAGGGGAGGGGTGGGGAGAGGAGACCATGGCTCGCTAAGGAGAAGGAAGGGCAGTGCCCGGCCAAACACTGCAAGCTCCCAGGCGGCTTGGGGCTCCGGATACCAGCTTAGTAGGTCCGCCAACCTCTTCAAGGGACCACGGCCACCTCAAGTTATATGGGGAGAATGGGAACTAATTACAATTGGAAGGGGGAAAGGGGAACTGTACACGAAGAATGGGGATATAAAGGGTGGCAAACAAATAAAGGTTGAGAGCGAAAAGAACTACTTAAGAACAGGAATTATCAAAATCACAAAAGTTAAGAGATGCTATATATGCTACAAAACAATGAACTCACTAAATTCACTATAATCCGATAAAATAAAAATGTTACAGAATGTCACGAGAAGTGAGTATTGGAGGTAAGAAGCTTAGGGGTCAAAGAGAGGGATGGGAAAATAAAGAGAAAAAGGTGCACGGAGACAAAAGAGGGGAAGAGATCGGAAAAGAGCTGTGCTGAAATAATAGGTATTAGTATTCCGGTTCTATCGGCTCGTAAACTTGCTGAAAGTTTAAATTGTAGCAGACTCAAAAACGGGGTAGTTCCAGAGTTGGTAGATTGAACCTGATCGAAAATGTGACGGGAAAAAATGAAGACCTGATGGGCGCGGGGAGCAGGTTGGTGGCAAGGGTGCAAGCGAAAAATGCGGCTACGCGGCTAATCACTGATGGAATTACGGGAGAAGTAAACACATAACGCAGCTAATGATTTTCCTACACCCCTGCGCCATCGGATCGGTTCCTTACCTGAGCAGTATTGTGCGAGCCACTCACTGCAAGCCGTGCCTAAAATAAGTGGATAGAGAAGCTAATCCAACATCAACTCACACCTGAAGCAGCCATTTCGTGCTTGAGATAGCGAGAGAGCTGAATCTGAAACGTTCGTGCATGTCTCCATTTGAAGAAATCGAGATCAAGTCGATTCCAACAGCGACACTACTCTGACTGGAAAGGTGCCCTCGTAGGCGCGAGTGTTAGGTTTTTCAGGCCGCACGCGATAGGGGTGCCCTCTGGATTGCCTATAGAAGGGGAAACCTCGAAAATGTCGTCCAATTCAAGGTCAATCTCATCTGTTATCAGCTTGTACATAAGGCCAAAATCAATAAGTTTACGGCGAAACTCAAGTGAGTCGCCCCCCAATTTACGAAGCCGCTCACAATACGACAGCGAGCTGATTCCCTTGCGTCTAAAGCAGCGATAAGTGAAGCTTTTTTGAACTTTTTCAAGTTCGTCTATCAGAGACTGCTTGTAAGGTGACCAGATGGGTGAGCAGTACTCCATGATTGGTCTGACGTAGAGGTTGAATAGACGGAAAAGTAGTACCGGGTCACGCATCTTGAAGGATCTGAGGATGAAGTTTGCTCTGCAACTTGCTCTGGCAGCAATGTCATGAATAAAATCTTCAAAGTCGAGCCTATCGCTGTAAGACACTCCAAGATCACGAATTTGGGTAACACGCTTAAGCTGAACGCCGCGCATGGTGAACGTAAAATCTGGGTGATTTCTGCCTATGCCCATGAAGGCCGATTTCTGGATAGAGATATCCAACTGCCATGTATCAGACCAGGACTGAATACAATCTATTGCAAACTGGAGTTTTTCACAGTTGTTGACAGTGAAAATTTTAGAATCGTCTGCGTATAAACTACAAAACACTCCTGGTGGGAAGGAATCGACCAGGTCATTTATATATATGATAAACATAAGGGGGCCAATGCACGTTCCTTGGGGTACACCACTCGGTGTTGGGTAATAGTAGGAATGGGACTGATTTATGAGCACCGATTGAGATCTATCCTTGAGGAAGGATTCTAAAAACAGAAGTAGGCGACCCCCAATACCATAGGCTTGTAGTTTTCTAAGTAGCAGTGGAATAGAGATAGAGTCAAAGGCTTTTGCATAGTCGATGTAGCAGACTGATACAAAACGCCCTTTGTCAATTTCTCTATGCCACAAAGGAATGTCGAAATCAATGCGGACATAGTTGATCTGCGCCTTAGAAACCCATGTTGGTTATTGTTGAGTAACTTCCTTTCCATTAAAAACCTACTGATTTTTCGACAAAGAATACGTTCCATGACTTTGCTGATAGAGCTAGTTAAGGCAAATAGGTCTGTAGTTGGTGACGTTGTCTTAGAACCTTTCTTGAAAACCGGTCTGACATGCCCAACTTTCCATAGGCCAGGAACATCACCGTGGAGTAAAATTCTGTTGAACAATATAGTCAATGGAGCCACCAATCCAAGTGCGGCTCTTTTCAAGAAAATATATGGGATCCCGTCAGGTGAGGAAGAGACTCTGTTTGGAAGTTTACACAGTGCTCTATAGACAGCATCACTTGATATGTCAACCCAATCTAGAGAGTCAGATGACAGGTTGGGCAGACTAGCGAAAGAGTCATGAGGGGTTTTATAGACAGTTTGGAAATAATCAGCAAAGAGATTAGCTTTAGCGAGATCATCATCACTGAAGTTCCATCTGAAGAGAGCAAATTAGGAATGTTGTCAGCGACTTTTAGCTTTTTTCGGCAATAAGAGTAGAATCGTTTAGTGTTTTTATGTTTCGCTATTCTTGTTTCTTCATTTAGTTGATGTCGGAGAAGCACTCGCTTCAGTTTACGAGCATATGTAGTACTCTTTGGGTTAAGTTGGGGAGAGGCTGTGTGAAAGTGCCTAATCTTGGCCGTTAGGATTTTGACGCGTTTGGGATATTTGACCGACTTATTTTTCCATGTAGAGAGCGGAACATATTCTTCGATCAAATTGTGGCAAATATCCAAAAGTCTTGAATAGAATCTGTCAGAGCTGTCACAGGTGCTGTTAATACTGTTCCAGTTTAGACGAGCGAGCGAGGAAATGATGGAGTAATAGTCCCCTCTAGAATAACATCTGTATGGTCTTAAAGTGTCCTTTGTAAAGGACGGAAGACGAGAGATGTCGAAACGCACGCATTTATGATCGGATGTGCTGAAGGGAGGTAAAACATGCAAGTTTTTGATCAAATCTGGCTCAGAAACCAGGACAATATCTAAAGTGTTGAGCCCGTGAGTTGGTTCGGTTACCATTTGGTTAAGGCTGAAAAGTTTCGAAAAGGAGAGGAAGGAGCGCATGGATGGCGAAGAGACGTTTCCTCTGCAAGTCATACTGGGCCAGTCAATCAATGGAAAGTTGAAGTCCCCCAAAATAAGGCTATGACCATCCCAATTGTCGAGAAGTTCATGTAGGAAGCCGGTAAAATCTGAAAAAAACAGCAGTGGTACAGGATGGACTACGGTAAGCGAGCACTACGATGACTTTTTATTATGAAAGGAAAGATCCCTGAAAGGTCACGTGTTCTGCTTGAGTATTATATCCGCCATATTAAACGATCCCTTTCCAATTCTACTGCGACCATCAGTCAGATCCGATACGAGCTCTCCCTTTTTGCTTCGAAAAGTTCCATCTGGAGGGTCGCTAACTCTGCTCCAAATATCGTGCGACAATCCATGATGAAGACTCCACGTCCGGAACAGCATCACAAAGCACCTCGTCTCGAACTCGCCCGGAGGAACATGCGAACGAGTTGGGGTTCGGTAGGTGATTCTACGGGGGTAGGGAGCCACCCTCAACATGACGTTTAGTTAATGGCTTGTAAACTTCAACTTAGACGGGCCGGATGGTCATCACAGATTCTGGAGAGATTTTAGCAAAGATCCGCTGGTATTTAGCAGGAGAAACTTCGGTGGTGGCGCATAGATGGTCTGAGCTGCATTCTACAGCGATGCTGTGCTCCCTCTGTCTTTCGTCTCGTGTCAAATGGACCCCAGTGAGAATCAGGATGCTTTTCTTAATGATCTTCTCTCGTTTCTGTGTGGAAGTCGTCGGCAAAACTTCATCTTTATGCACGATTACGCCACCATCCATCGCAGCCGGTCCACTCAACACCGGGTTTACGTCAACAAAATCAGTGTACTGGAATGGCCTGCTAGCAGCCTAGATCCAAATCCAATAAAAAACACCTGGGGTATCATTGTCCGACAGATATACGCGTATGGAAAGCAGTACAGTAACGTGGGAGACCTCAGACAGCCATCGAGACGTTTTCCTACCACCTGAATCCCGCTATACTTCTGAAGCTCACGGATAGTATGCCAAATGGTATTAACCCTTTGACGACCGTGTGGCCCGCCGGTGGGCCACACTTTCGCTCGGTGGCGACACGTTTTTAGGGGTTTATTTTGGCATTTTTCATGTTTTAAAAAACTACACAAATACATTCATCGAATTTCGCGGAATAATGCGCTAATTACTAATAGTGAAATTGTTGGAGAGTTAATGATTATTGATGAAAAAATTTAGAAAGAAGTGAAGTGACGCATTCATAACGGCGGTCGTCAAAGGGTTAAATCTCACTTCTAAAAAAGGAAGTCACGCTAGTTACTAATATTTACGATGTTCACTTTTTCTCTGGAAAAATAGAGTTATGTTGCAAGTGGCTTTATACTTTTGAAACAGGGGATATTTGGAAATCTTCTTATAAAAATGTATGTGAATCATTTTGTTTCCTGAAATAAAGAGAACAATGGTTTCCAAACACGCTGAATTCAATAAAGTTTATGGCAAGCCATGAAATACTCACCTTAACTCGGAAAGTTAGTTTTCATGGGTGGCTTTATACTTTTGAAACGCACTGTATGGGTGTCTTTTTAAACTCTTCGACCAAAAATGCTTAAGTTTTCCAGGTGGAAATGTCTCAAACGGGAATCCGTATCGTGGGCTTGTCAGCAACATTGCCAAACTACGTTGATGTAGCCCGATTTCCTACGAGTCAATC